TCCTGCTGACAGCAGTAAGTGCCATCCCAAATCTGGGCTCCAGGGACATGAACTCAGTGAACTGGAATGCTGAATTCATGCAGCTCCAAGACATCTCAGTCACCTGCATGGTACCAGAGTGTGGTGCAGCCAAGTTCACAGCATCAGGGCTGAGATATGTGCTCTCACCTTTGTGGGTATTTAACATCTGGCACCACAGGACTTTGTTACAGAGCCCTTCTGTTTGCTTTCATAGAGCTGCAAGTGTCCTTTCGGACACAGGCTTCAACTGTCAACCCTGTAGGGAGAATGTGTTTTGCCTCTTTGTGTTGGACATAACACTTTCTGAGCAGCAGCACAGTGAAGGTGAACCACTCCTGTGCCTCACCAGGAGGACAGTCCCTTTGCCACCTGTCCGGTCGGGCACAGGAGCTGAGGAAACAGACAGCCATGAGCTGCACTGCTAAAGGATGGCAGTTTGAGGTCACTGGAATAGCTGACATTTCACCACATGAGCCAGCTGGCTTCTGCAACCAGGACAACTGGTGATGTTAAAACTACTTCATCTTTGGGGAGAGTAAACACTGCAGCGAGCCCAGCAACAGCAGCACTCCCTGCTCAAGGAAGAGAGATGGACATTTGTAAAAGGTGACTACTTACATGATACCAGTCACTTGCTTTATGTACAGGTTCAGCTGGAGCTTGATAGAGCAATTCATTGGGATGCCCGTCATCTGCATAGGAAGAGACGGACCAGTTCATCAGTAAAACCAACACCTGTCTGGAGAGCTTTGCAGAAGAGCAACCCTTTGGTTTCCATCATAGCTGCTCTGGGTGCCACTTTGCAACAGATGGGATCATCCAGAGATCCACTGCAGTCACCACACACAAGACGAGGAGCATCACTTGCGTTTCCACCAGAAAACAAGCATCAGTCAACCAGGCACCAGACCCCAGGCTCTGGGGACAACTGCTCATGGAGGGACAGCACTGTCCCCATGACATTTCAGTCTGTCCCCTTCACTGGAAGGCTCACCAGCCAGTGAGACTGTTGCACGTGGCAGCATCCAGAAGGGAGGACCTCCCTCAGGGTGGTCTGAAAGCACAGAGCTAATTGGGACAGAGCCAGGCACTGCAGAAGGCAGTGCCCAGTGAGTGGGCAGACAGCACGAACCAGGGAGCTGTTGTGTGACCCAGGGCTTGTAGGTCTGAACATAAGCAAGTTGAAGTTACCAAGCAGCATATGTAACCTGTAAGCAACTCCCTAGGCATGGTGTTTTAATAGAACTTCAGTGGGTTTTGAAGCCTGATAAGCCTCTTCTGTTGCTCATCCTACCAGCAGCAGGATGGAAACACATCAGTGCAAGAGATTCATGCTGTCCAGCAACACCCTAAAACCATGAAAACATCAGACTTCAAAGCTGGTCTTGTTGACACCCATTAAGGCATTTGTTTCTCATGACACTGCAGTTTTGCAAGACATTAAGGGCAGAGTTTTTGTTGGATTGCCCACTGCTTGCACTCAGCATGCTGCAGCTAGATAAGAATTATAGGTAATTGTCCTGTTATCAGTAGATGTTTGATACTGTTATAAACTTAATTAGATTTCTGTAACTGTGATAAGAAAAAGCAGAGAGAACCCAATGCCTAGATAAGCACAGCTTACCTTACCTCAAGTTGGGGATTAGTATCTTGCTTGAGCAAATATCTCTGAGCATTTGGAAAATCTGACTATGTACAACACAGGCCATGGGTGGAAGATAAAGTCCCCTCCCCATCAGCAGCTGGGACAATGACAGCTCAGGACACCCCAACTCATCACCACTGGAGTGGTGACTTCACCCTTACTCTATAGATACGTGAAGTGTAACACAGCAGCAGTCCAGCACAAAAACGGTCAGTTAGATGAGCAGGTTGAGAAATTGGAAGCAGCCAGCCCAAAAGCAGTGGTGACAGCTTCAGCTACAGCGTGGTCTTCAGACGTGGCCAGTCAGCTCTCACGGCAACATGACTTTGCAGATTTGGGGCGTAACTGGGCTGCTGCTAGATACACCTCCTGGTGTTATAGACCTGAGTCAGTGGAAAGAACTCGACTGCGCTTATCAAAACAGTTATGCTTATAATTAGTTCTGCAATTCTCTAGACGCCAGGCTAATTATTTGATTAGTTTATGGCTTTGACATTTTTATCTGCACATGTTCTTGCCGGTCATTGCACTATGCGACCTGCTCAAATCAGTGTCACGAGAGCAGAGCGAGGCTGTCACGCAGCCAGTGGCAGGCCATCTCAGCCTGGGCTGGACTCCTGGGGTGAGGTGAGACCCCTCCGCAGGGCGAGGACCCCGCGGGCTCACTCACCGGGTGCACGTCAAGGAAGAGCGCGTGCTCTGCCTCGCTGGGGTGGAGGCCCTCAACAGCATCCACCAGGGTTGGGTCGGCATTGTAGAAGTGAGGATGGGAAATGAACATCGGTGCATCTGGATGAGAACAAAGACACCTTCAGTTCATACAAACCCACCTGACACTTTTTGTTGAGGTTTTTAAGCCATTGCAGCACTTGTTCTGAACAGAGTTTTATACATTCCTCCTCCAAACAAGAAACCTCCATCCCTTCCCTCCCTGCAGCTCAGTCCGTTGCTGTGGGAGGGTTCAGACCCAGTGTTTAAGCCACCCTCTCCCCCCACGCACCACACAGTGCCGTGATAACTCGCCGTACCCAGACAAGGGTTAGGACACCAAGTCTGAATTCTCACTCCTGCACGACGTGTGCTCAGCATCAAAAGGTTAACACTTAAATTGACGGTTACGTGGCTGCCTCTTCCTACCCTTGCTCCCCTGCCCGCTCCCTCCCCAGCCCAGGGGATGTAACGCTCCCACCATATCCTTGGCTGTTCCCACAAATGCCAGGCTGTCATGGGGCTGTGGACCAAGAGGACTTTGGACACAATGATTTTTCCCTTTTTCCCTCCTTGCCCAGATGCCTGCAGGAGTGCGAGCAAGAACAGCATGTGCGCGGACCCCACCGGTATCTTTTAGCACTCCAACAGGTAGCAGAGCTGATTTTCCAGACACCCAAACTCGTATCACATCCCCACAGTTTAATATTGGTCACAGCAGGGAGAGCCTGGGGAGGAAAGGACTTACTTAGCCTACAGGAACTGACGTTCTGGACGCCGGACTGCAGGCAGGGGCAGAAGCCTTCGTTGGGTGGATAGTCCGTGCCATTGGCAAAAAGAGTTTTTGGTGCTACGAAGCGATAGGTGGGCACTCCCTTGAACTTCCCGGACTGCTGGTACACCAGTGTCATGGATCTGGAAGGGTTTCGGTGGAGAAGGATCAAGATTAGCCAACGAGTTCCCAGCCCAGACTCAGGCTCTTATCTTCCCTGGATAAGACGCAGTTGCACTGTAACTTAGACTTTGAGATGAAGATAAACTCTCAGAGCAGTGCTTTGGATGGAATGAGTATTTAAGCCATTTGCTTTCCATGTCTTAAGCACAGATAAAAGGTTGGTCAGAACTAGTTACAGAGAGAAACCGTGGGGTTGTAAGTCTGTTTGCAATATCCAGACAGATCTGTTTAAAGGCACGTAGTAATCCCCAGGGCTGCTCTCCAAGAGATAATACCCTCTTTGTGCAAGCCTTGGCTCCGAGGTGCTGTCATAGAAGGAGGACACTGGTTAAATCTCTTCTGCAGCACAACTCCAGCATAGAGGCTGTCAGGGGAGCAGAAAATATTACTACATTATGCAGCAAGATTTTCTTCCTTGATACAACAGGCTAGTGATGTTATGCTGCATTATTGCTACCAGCTGGTCAGGATAGACACAAATTTCCAAGAAAGAATTTTGCTCCTTTCATGCTCAAGTCAGGCTTGCAGGGATGCAGACAGCCTGGGCAGGCCAAGGGGATGCTTATTCCTCCGGCTGCCTTCTGACACCAGGACCAAGGATGGGGGGTTCTGGGCATGTTCAGCAGTTACACACGTGCCTCCCGGCTGTGCTCACCTTCCAGCAAGGAGGCAGCGGCTGCTGCACACATCAGCAGGATAATGCCTTGCCTACCTCTGCAGGGACACCCAGGTAGTTGCATCTCCACATCAGCTGAACTTGATGTGCAAACAACATAGATGAGCCATCCCACACCGTTCTCTGCCCACAGCAAGGCAAATAGGCTTTTAGTCTATCAACTGATGTTTGTGACTCCTTTCTGGCCATTTGGGCTAGCAGAGAGGTCAAGATAGAGATTTAGGAAGAACAGACAGCACTGCCTGGTAAAGAGGCAGAGCCACTTCCCCCACAGCACTAGCTACCAGGCATCTCCTGCACTACCAAGAAACCAAGCTTGGTTTCCTCCACGTCACTTTCCACCTTGCCTGGAAACATGCTCTGTCCTCTACAAGACTTCTGTAGTTTTACCAAAACAGGTATGTGTATTTAAACTTTGATTATTGGTGAACTTCCCTGTCAGTCCTTGGCTCTGGGTCACTGTGGTATTTGCTGACATCCCATGTGTAGAGGAATTCCTGCACTAATACTTGGCTCAGCTGACTTTGCTCGTTCAACTGAAGAGGTCATTGTTCTCTATTCAGCATGAGCACTTGCTTGTTTTGTGGCACTATCTACAAAGCCTGAATTAACATTATCTTCCCCAAGCTGGGGACAGGGTTTCGTGCCACCGCCTGCCTCCTCTCCTTCCAGGCTCCGGGAGTTTCCATACAGGCAGTACACACAGGGTACTTTAACCCCTGTGTGATCAGCTCACATCAGGGTGTCCTGCACAGGACAGACATGCGGAGCAGTGCGTGAGCTGGGCAGCCAAAAAAAAGCCAAACAGCCTGGAAATGGTGGGATGAGTCCCCCCCAACACCACTTCTGCAAGTACTTAGTCAGCTCAAATAGTTCCGCAAATGGCTATAGCTGCATTTCCTTATGACAACTCTTACTTCTCCGTCTCACCTCCCACATCTTATCTAGACTGGTTATTTTCCACTGATTCAACTCAGGCAAGTTAGACTTCTCTGGTGTGGTGGAAGGTATTTATGAACACCACAAGATGCTGCTAATTAGACAACAACATGGTTCATAAAGCTGAGACACTGCAACTGAACTTTAGCTACAGAAACTAGTGCCAAGTCCTCTGCATCACTGCACAGGGACTCTGTGCGCACAGGACGAGCGCCGCATCGCCTGCCACCTGCACAGGGACGAGCTGGCAGCTGCAGCCTCACCTGCAGGCATCGGGGCTGTAGAACTCCAACGATGTCGGGGACATGAACGGTGGCCACATCTCCCCCGCGGTCCCATTGATCATGTTGCACTCATCACTCTGCCAGTAGCTGAGCTGCAGAACAGACAGAGGGAAGAGCTCAGAACAATGGCCTTGGTGGAGAGTTGGCTTCCACCCCTGCATGGGACAGCCACTGCTCTGCGCTGCTTCCATAGGAGCTTGAGATAGAAACACTGAAGAGCTTCCAAGATCTTTCCCATGCAAAGATCTGCCCAATTAATGGAAAAACAGGACAACAGCCCCCTGTCTCAAGTGCTCCCACAGCAGCTGATCTGTAGATTCAGTTGATTTTAGAAGTGGAATTCCACAAGAGAAGAATCCCTTTGACAAGGATATTTAAATAAGACCTTGAAAACAGGCCATGGGAGCCTGGGACTTCAACCATGAGAAGCAAGCAGCTCCAACAGCATTTCAAGGGAGAGACACTGATGATAAGCTGAACTTAATGCTTCATGACAAGCCTCTTGTCATATGGCTTCCTCCTGGCAGTTTGATAGAACAGAAGTTGCAGCAGTTGAAGCCTCACAGAAACTTGCCTTCAAACCTACGACCCAGAGACACAACAGCCCCCAGAGCTTTCAGCTTATCTTGCTTTAGATCAGGCATCGCCCCCATATTAGAGGTTTGCTGCCCAACACTCACCTGTGTTAGTCCATTCCATGAATCCACCATGTGAACTCTACTGATGTCCTTCATGCCCGTGTTCACTGTGAACAGTCCCGAGTTGGTGTTGTTAATCTGCAGAGAGAAGAAACCAGCTTTGATCGCAAGGCTGCAGTACGTTACTGACTTCACATGCTTCAACAGCTCTACAGATGCTTCATCCTGTAAATTACTGAATTTTTACTTATTTCAGTTGCCAGCAACAGCTTCCAACATGTGCATTTATGCTTGAGGGGAGAATTAAGGCAGCCTTACACAACCATCACCCAGCTACACAACTGGTCCAAACACTTTGTGAGGAGAACAGCCCAGACACTCAATCCCAAGACCAATGTTGATGTGATTTTAGTGTTCCCAAGCAACAGTTTACTTACCTCTACAAATAAGCCAAATTTCCCCTCAAAAGGGATGAGGCCAGGAACAATTGCATTTATCGCATCTATAAGAGGGTCATCATACCCCCACAGGATCTCCCCCACTGTCCGGTTCATGAACGCCTCCTGTTTCAGGCCAGCCAGGGCTCCGCTCACCAAAAGCTTCACAAAAGTTGGCAGGTTTTCCATCATTACAGCAGCTCCCTGGGAAAGAAAAAAACAAGCTCTGAGATGAGAGCCCCATCTTTACCAAAGAGGAAGCAATGCATCTTCGGTGCTGAGCAAGGTCCTTCTGTTGCACTGATCTACAGTCTGAGAGAAGTCCTTTGGACAGACTGAGGTTCACCATTTTATCCCCAGTTTGAGAAGAAAGCAGTTGAGGGCTCCCAGGCTTCGTTTCCCTAGAAGACACTCAGATGAGGTTGCAGCCTTCTGCAGCCCAATATGACAACCAACAGCCAGAAAGAGGAAAACTGCATTTTATAAGCTTAACTACCTCATGGCTTGATTATCCTTAAGCCCTACAAGAAAGTAAGCTTTGACTCAGCATTGGGCATCACTGCCCTCCCCATAAGCTCGGAAGTTGGTACCCATTCAGGGAGCAAGTTCTTACCATCATCATAATGTTTGGCACAACGATGTACTCTTCTTCGCTACCGTTGGACAAGTGTGGCTGGAAGAAGAGTCTCCGATACTCCAGGAAGGAGACGGTGTCATTGTCATGGAACGTGATATTTGTTTTATACCTGAACTCTCTGCAAAGAGATGGGAGACATCATGGGAACCTTCCCCCACGCAGTGCCCCTGCACCACCTGTGGAGCAAGGACGGGCTGCCTAGGCCTGGGCTTGCCTCTGAAGAGCAGAGGAAGGAGACTGAATCTCAGCAAGAAGCCACAGGACAGCAGGGGAGGCAGCATGATGGAGAACAGTGTCAGCCTCACACCCTGACCAGGGTTAAGCTCTGGCAGGAGGAGACGGCAGCTTGGGAGCAAGGCATCCCTGACAGATGGGATTCTGCAGCAACTTACAGACATCAAGTGTTTCTTCCCAGCCGACAAGAAGTCTGAGACAAAAGCATAAATCCCCTCTGTCCCTTCACCTACAGCAGTTGAAAAGCCCAGCCCTATCAGACAGGCAACCAAATAAGCAGACCTACACCAACCCTCACACCAAAACCAGCTGCAAAACAGGAGAGGACCAAACGAGATGGCACAAACCCCAACAACAAGTTCACACTGATTCGCCCCAGAGCTCCCTGATGGCTCGTGGGTTCAGGGCACCTCAACTCTCCACGCAGCATCATGGCTCTCCTGCTCCTCAGGGCTTCGGGCCACACGCTGCCCAGCACCACTTCACGCCACGGGGACAGCCCAGTCTCATGGCAGCACAAGGTTGCCTCCAACATTGCGAGCCTGTTACAGCTCCCAAGGAAGCTGAAGCTCAACCCACCAGCAAAAACAAAGTCCTTTATTATGGAGTCTCTGTTTTATGGCCCACATTAGGGAAGGGCACTAATCTTGCTCAGCAGTTTTTAATAAGCTTTGCCCCTTTGTTTATTCTGATTTATGGTAAGCAAAGCCTTTTCCCCAAGTCGTGACTGATGTGATCACAACATACAGAATCCACATGGTCTTATGGTGTGACCTAGCAAGCCCAAGGGAAACAAGGGCATATACATACTGCCAGGTTTCCCCCTAACACTACTCAAACGGCTTTGGATTAAACCAGTAATCTTCCCACATGAGCTTGCTTAGGCTGCTGACCTAACTTTGCCTACATGTGTAGGTGCTAATGTGTTGAATATCGCTATTTATGGGTAAGTTCACACACTCAACTCAACATCAACCATCACTTCACATTTCAGGTCTAGAGAAGCATCTGAGGCTTCAACCATCATCCTCAGCCATGGCAAATAGACTCAGCCCTGCTGCAGGTGGGCCTGAGCACATTTTACTGCTCTATCCTGGTTCTCATGACCAGAACATCCATGTTAGAGGCAGGTTCCAGATCTCCTGTTAGATAAGAGGTCTTAGGCAAATCCATGAAGTTTGACATTGAGGTAACTCTGGCTCTGGGACTGGACTCAAATGCACAGTGAAGATGAGACAAATCTACTCTGAAGATGATGGTCGCCCACCACCACATCAATACCCCTCAGTCCAGGTCTGACTGCCCAGCAGGTCCCAGCACAGGACTGCGCTCCACAACTCAGTAAACCACAGACCAGCCTTACCACCCCAGCAGCCAGAGGTCCTACTGGTGGCTTGAGCAAGATCAGAGCTATTAGAGCACATGTAGGTTGCTTCAAAATCCTATCCCGCTGGACTTGCACCAAGTATGCTAATGCCATGCCCTCCTGTCAGAGGAGTCAGCCAGAAGCTTGGCAGGAAGCACAGTGGCCAGCCTCACACCTAGCTGGACCACAAGTGGTACCTGACCTGTAAACATAGGGTCCACGCTGGTTCAGCACCGGCTTCGCTCCCTGGAGGACCTCAGTGGGGTTCAGCACTTCGAAGAAGTACACCGACATGTAGAAAGGAACAGGAATGTCTTTCCACATGCTGAAGGAGATGCTGCTGGGGTTGATCCTGACATTCTGCAAGAAAAAAAAAGTAAGGAAACAACTCTTGGGCTTGATGGCTGCAGCTGAGCACATCCACCCTCGGCTCCACATCAGGCCCAACCAAAGGCAGCAGTTCCAGTAGGGGCTCTCCAGGGGATCCAGGCATGATACGCAGACTGAAACCGAGCCAGATCTAAACTGGAAACTCTTATGTATGCAGAAGCATCAAGTTCATGCCACAGGATATCTGTAGGCTTATTTATTCAGGCTCAACTTTCCAGATCCTACCCACGGGATTTTGGAGCTGTTTTGATGTGCTGGAGGCTTGCTCTGTGCTAGACAAGCCAGCACTGAATTATTCACAGCTCTACATGTTTGACTTCCCTGGCACAAACAACCCTGTCCCGAAGGCCTCTGCTCATCTGCCAGGTTTGGCAGCTCCACACAGCCAGAAGCAGGCAAGGGCTGGGGGAGGTGACACGCATCCGCACAACCGTTTGGGCACCAGCAGGGAGAGCCTGCTAGGTTCCCAAAAATTAGATAGAGAATTGGGATGGAGACCCAGCTGTGTGCCAACAGCACCGTGCAGGACACCTTTGCTTCCTCCCGGCTGCCATCCCACAGTGACTCCCAGCTGGCCATAAGGCAGGTCAAAGCCCATGCACAACCATGGTCTCCGTATCACTGTGCTGTTTGCTGGGAAATGCCTGCAGGAGCCCAAACACGACCCAAGCCCCCACCAGCTCTGCAGCCCAGGAGCTGGCATCTGGGCACATCTGTCTCCACTCCCTCCCTGCCTCCTGAGGGCTGTCTTGTGGACAAGAGCCTGACCCTTCTTAAGTACTTATTTTGGGTGTTTTCTACCATGATCTTTGCTTCCTCTGCAAGCACAAACCCGACCAGCTTACAGAAGCACATTTGATCCACTAATGGGTAAAAGCCCCTGGGCATTATCCCATGGCAGCTCAGCAGTCCCACAATGGGTCTCCTGCCCTGGAGCAGCTTGATCTGACTGTGCATGTTACTTGCTGCAGCAGCAGGTTGAGAAGGAAAGCTGCTGGATGTGTCCCCACAACACCCCATCATTCTTTAGCCATTTCCTGGCCAGGCTGTGCCACTTAAGCAGTGGGGCTTTGCAAGCCCCTCGCTCAAGCCCAGATCCTCCAAGCCCTTCCCCTGAGCAGACATCTCCATGGTGCACTGCAACCCACCAAGCAAACCCTTCCCACCTCCACATCAACACCTGCCTGCTGCTGGCTGAGAGCCTCTGTCCTGCCAGCCTCAAGGATTTCATGGCAAAGAAGCAGTGATAGGGCAAGATTTTATTTAGCCTGCTTCATAATCCCTGCTCCTGAGTGCCCGAGAGAGTCGGAATCTGCTTTTCTTTACTCGCTTTTTCTGTCTCGCAATCCCTGGATCCCTCATGGCATATCTATGTGTTTGTAGATGTAACCAGTCTGATGGAGCTGCATCCCAGCTCCCTGCTGCCTTCCTTGGCCCTCTCCCATCTGGGCACAGCAGCTCAAGGTACTCCATAGATGCTGCTAAATAACATCTACTTAACAGGGTAGCCTTAGAATTAAGCTACTTGTAGGTCAAAACAAAAATGGTTATATATCTCAAAAATAGAATATTTTTCACTTAGATGGGTTACAAAGCGTCACTGAAAGGTTTGTCCCCTCCTGACCATGCTGATCTGTGTTCGTGAGGAACTGGCTACTGCCCATCTCCTCCAGACAGGACCAGAGGAGAAGCAGCTCCACCAACAGTGCCCAAACCCTGCTTCTCCAGGATGATTCAGCCACTCTGCTCAGTAAAACCGAGTGCTGAGGCTTCCTCTTCAGATCAAGAAGGGCAGTCATGCTGTGTGCAAGCACAACCTCAGCATCAGACCTCATCCTCCACATCCTCTCATCACCATCCTCATCACCCTGCAAAAGCAGCAGACAGTCCTGTCAGGCTTGTCCCAGCTTTCAGGCAGGACAGCACAAGAGTTACCAGGAGGAGAAGAAAAGATGAGAGACAGATGGATGAGTTGATGAAGTCTCACTGTGTTAAAGCTCCTACCTTAGGCAGGTCCACAGCACTCCAGAAGAGTCACGTCCCCAACTTTTACAACGTCAATGCCACAAGCAGCCCAGCTGCCGATGCAGATTCTGTTTCTGCAAATGGGGCAGGAGCTGGGCTCAGAGTTTCCTGTTTCTGCTGTGTGTTCCCCTCTGGACTTTACTCAGAGATATCCCCAAAACTACAACCTTTTTTGCAGCCAAGTGCTCTTCAATCAGGATATACCATCTTGACCTTCCTTGCAGATCTTGGGAAGCCAAGACTGGCAAGCCAGCCCTCACCTGCCCAACACCTGCTACCAGCCCTTCAGAGCCAAGTTCTTCCTCTTACCCACCACTCTGAGGACCAGTCCAAGAGTTTCGGTAAAGCTCTGGATATTTCTTACCACTCTAGACATCAGCACTCAGTTATTTTTTTCCATTTCACATTAAGCCTCTTAAGACCCATTCAGGTCATACTGAACATGAGGAGACCGAGCTGAAGAGAAACAAGGGTTGGTCCTTCTCTCATCTTTTGCCCTCACTGCAAGTTGTTTCAAATTAGCTATTCAGGTAGGAAAAAAAAAAAAAATCAGGACTGGCTAAAAAGAAGAGGGCAAAAAGGTTTTTGCACCAAAAACATCACTCCTGTTCTGCAAGGGCCATTCAGCCTTTTATTTGCAGGTACCAGCTCCTGATGCCCGTGAAACTGGACAAAGATTGACTTTCACTGCTTAAGTCCCAGGACCGTCTGGCTTCGCCCAACCAGCAGCACTTCCAGAAGATATGTTTAAGTAGAAATTCGGTTTTGGCAAAGACTTTGCATCACATGTAACCACAGCCACAGGGTCTTTATTCACGTCTTTCATCAGAAGCACATTTCCAAGTGCTGACCTGAGTAGGTGCAAGCTTAGAGAAAAGCCCAGGCAGGGAGCACATCTCCTTTGGACACAAAGAAAAAGGTTTGGCTAAATGTGGAAAGGAGTCAAGCGGTTCGTTACAGCAGGACAACTGGTGTCCCGACAGCGAGGACAGGAGCTCTGGTTCCCAAGACTGTGCAGCATTTACTGAACAGACCAACAACTCCATCCACAGCCCCACATCTTAACTGTGGGGGACAAACACCCCTTTGGCCTCAGGGCCTCTCTTCTGGGTAAGGCAGGTTTTCAGAGAGGCAGTTCTTTAGGTTTTCGGTCTAGGAGGAGAAGATGACTTGGAGGAGTGGATGACTTGGAGGTTGCTCCATGCACGAGGCTCTTTCAGAGCGCTCCTGCACGTCGTCTGTTCCATTTTCAGTTTTGTAACCCAAGTCCAGTAAGCTGTTCACCTATTCACAAACAGAGTGCTGCAGGTAAAGGCAGTAGGGACTGGAGGAAGGGCTGGTGGTGCTCAGGGTGATGCTGAGCCCAGCACCACCAGCACCGTCCCT